CCAGAAGCAGCATCGCAAGGTAGCACGCACCAGAAGCAGCATCGCAAGGTAGCATGCACCAGAAGCAGCATCGGAAGGTAGCACGCACCAGAAGCAGCATCGCAAGGTAGCTCGCACCAGAAGCAGCATCGCAAGGTAGCACGCACCAGAAGCAGCATCGCAAGGTAGCACGCACCAGAAGCAGCATCGGAAGGTAGCACGCACCAGAAGCAGCATCGCAAGGTAGCACGCACCAGAAGCAGCATCGGAAGGTAGCACGCACCAGAAGCAGCATCGCAAGGTAGCTCGCACCAGAAGCAGCATCGCAAGGTAGCACGCACCAGAAGCAGCATCGCAAGGTAGCACGCACCAGAAGCAGCATCGGAAGGTAGCACGCACCAGAAGCAGCATCGCAAGGTAGCACGCACCAGAAGCAGCATCGCAAGGTAGCACGCACCAGCAGCAGCATCGCAAGGTAGCATGCACCAGAAGCAGCATCGCAAGGTAGCACGCACCAGAAGCAGCATCGCAAGGTAGCACGCAACAGAAGCAGCATCGCAAGGTAGCATGCACCAGAAGCAGCATCGCAAGGTAGCACGCACCAGAAGCAGCATCGCAAGGTAGCACGCACCAGAAGCAGCATCGCAAGGTAGCATGCACCAGAGGCAGCATCGCAAGGTAGCACGCACCAGAAGCAGCATCGCAATGTAGCACGCACCAGAAGCAGCATCGCAAGGTAGCACACACCAGAAGCAGCATCGCAAGGTAGCATGCACCAGAAGCACCATCGCAAGGTAGCACGCACCAGCAGCAGCATCGCAAGGTAGCACGCACCAGAAGCAGCATCGCAAGGTAGAACGCACCAGCAGCAGCATCGCAAGGTAGCACGCACCAGCAGCAGCATCGCAAGGTAGCATGCACCAGAAGCAGCATCGCAAAGTAGCACGCACCAGAAGCAGCATCGCAATGTAGCACGCACCAGAAGCAGCATCGCAAGGTAGCACGCACCAGAAGCAGCATCGCAAGGTAGCACGCACCAGAAGCAGCACCGCAAGGTAGCACGCACCAGAAGCAGCATCGCAAGGTAGCACGCACCAGAAGCAGCATCGCAAGGTAGCACGCACCAGAAGCAGCATCGTAAGGTAGCACGCCCCAGAAGCAGCATCACAAGGTAGCACGCACCAGCAGGAGCATCGCAAGGTAGCACGCACCAGAAGCAGCATCGCAAGGTAGCACGCACCAGAAGCAGCATCGCAAGGTAGCACGCACCAGAAGCAGCATCGCAAGGTAGCACGCACCAGCAGCAGCATCGCAAGGCAGCACGCACCAGAAGCAGCATCGCAAGGTAGCACGCACCAGAAGCAGCATCGCAAGGTAGCACGCACCAGAAGCAGCATCGCAAGGTAGCACGCACCAGAAGCAGCATCGCAAGGTAGCACGCACCAGAAGCAGCATCGCAAGGTAGCACGCACCAGAAGCAGCATCGCAAGGTAGCACGCACCAGAAGCAGCATCGCAAGGTAGCACGCACCAGAAGCAGCATCGCAAGGTAGCACACACCAGAAGCAGCATCGCAAGGTAGCACGCACCAGAAGCAGCATCGCAAGGTAGCACGCACCAGAAGCAGCATCGCAAGGTAGCACGCACCAGCAGCAGCATCGCAAGGTAGCACGCACCAGAAGCAGCATCGCAAGGTAGCACGCACCAGCAGCAGCATCGCAAGGTAGCACGCACCAGAAGCAGCATCGCAAGGTAGCACGCACCAGAAGCAGCATCGCAAGGTAGCACGCACCAGAAGCAGCATCGCAAGGTAGCATGCACCAGAAGCAGCATCGCAAGGTAGCACGCACCAGAAGCAGCATCGCAAGGTAGCACGCACCAGAAGCAGCATCGCAAGGTAGCTCGCACCAGAAGCAGCATCGCAAGGTAGCACGCACCAGAAGCAGCATCGCAAGGTAGCACGCACCAGAAGCAGCATCGGAAGGTAGCACGCACCAGAAGCAGCATCGCAAGGTAGCACGCACCAGAAGCAGCATCGGAAGGTAGCACGCACCAGAAGCAGCATCGCAAGGTAGCTCGCACCAGAAGCAGCATCGCAAGGTAGCACGCACCAGAAGCAGCATCGCAAGGTAGCACGCACCAGAAGCAGCATCGGAAGGTAGCACGCACCAGAAGCAGCATCGCAAGGTAGCACGCACCAGAAGCAGCATCGCAAGGTAGCACGCACCAGCAGCAGCATCGCAAGGTAGCATGCACCAGAAGCAGCATCGCAAGGTAGCACGCACCAGAAGCAGCATCGCAAGGTAGCACGCAACAGAAGCAGCATCGCAAGGTAGCATGCACCAGAAGCAGCATCGCAAGGTAGCACGCACCAGAAGCAGCATCGCAAGGTAGCACGCACCAGAAGCAGCATCGCAAGGTAGCATGCACCAGAGGCAGCATCGCAAGGTAGCACGCACCAGAAGCAGCATCGCAATGTAGCACGCACCAGAAGCAGCATCGCAAGGTAGCACACACCAGAAGCAGCATCGCAAGGTAGCATGCACCAGAAGCACCATCGCAAGGTAGCACGCACCAGCAGCAGCATCGCAAGGTAGCACGCACCAGAAGCAGCATCGCAAGGTAGAACGCACCAGCAGCAGCATCGCAAGGTAGCACGCACCAGCAGCAGCATCGCAAGGTAGCATGCACCAGAAGCAGCATCGCAAAGTAGCACGCACCAGAAGCAGCATCGCAATGTAGCACGCACCAGAAGCAGCATCGCAAGGTAGCACGCACCAGAAGCAGCATCGCAAGGTAGCACGCACCAGAAGCAGCACCGCAAGGTAGCACGCACCAGAAGCAGCATCGCAAGGTAGCACGCACCAGAAGCAGCATCGCAAGGTAGCACGCACCAGAAGCAGCATCGTAAGGTAGCACGCCCCAGAAGCAGCATCACAAGGTAGCACGCACCAGCAGGAGCATCGCAAGGTAGCACGCACCAGAAGCAGCATCGCAAGGTAGCACGCACCAGAAGCAGCATCGCAAGGTAGCACGCACCAGAAGCAGCATCGCAAGGTAGCACGCACCAGCAGCAGCATCGCAAGGCAGCACGCACCAGAAGCAGCATCGCAAGGTAGCACGCACCAGAAGCAGCATCGCAAGGTAGCACGCACCAGAAGCAGCATCGCAAGGTAGCACGCACCAGAAGCAGCATCGCAAGGTAGCACGCACCAGAAGCAGCATCGCAAGGTAGCACGCACCAGAAGCAGCATCGCAAGGTAGCACGCACCAGAAGCAGCATCGCAAGGTAGCACGCACCAGAAGCAGCATCGCAAGGTAGCACACACCAGAAGCAGCATCGCAAGGTAGCACGCACCAGAAGCAGCATCGCAAGGTAGCACGCACCAGAAGCAGCATCGCAAGGTAGCACGCACCAGCAGCAGCATCGCAAGGTAGCACGCACCAGAAGCAGCATCGCAAGGTAGCACGCACCAGCAGCAGCATCGCAAGGTAGCACGCACCAGAAGCAGCATCGCAAGGTAGCACGCACCAGAAGCAGCATCGCAAGGTAGCACGCACCAGAAGCAGCATCGCAAGGTAGCATGCACCAGAAGCAGCATCGCAAGGTAGCACGCACCAGAAGCAGCATCGCAAGGTAGCACGCACCAGAAGCAGCATCGCAAGGTAGCACGCACCAGAAGCAGCATCGCAAGGTAGCACGCACCAGAAGCAGCATCGCAAGGTAGCACGCACCAGAAGCAGCATCGCAAGGTAGCACGCACCAGAAGCAGCATCGCAAGGTAGCATGCACCAGCAGCAGCATCGCAAGGTAGCATGCACCAGAAGCAGCATCGCAAGGTAGCACGCACCAGAAGCAGCATTGCAAGGTAGCACGCAACAGAAGCAGCATCGCAAGGTAGCATGCACCAGAAGCAGCATCGCAAGGTAGCACGCACCAGAAGCAGCATCGCAAGGTAGCACGCACCAGAAGCAGCATCACAAGGTAGCATGCACCAGAGGCAGCATCGCAAGGTAGCACGCACCAGAAGCAGCATCGCAATGTAGCACGCACCAGAAGCAGCATCGCAAGGTAGCACACACCAGAAGCAGCATCGCAAGGTAGCATGCACCAGAAGCACCATCGCAAGGTAGCACGCACCAGTAGCAGCATCGCAAGGTAGCACGCACCAGAAGCAGCATCGCAAGGTAGCACGCCCCAGAAGCAGCATCGCAAGGTAGCACGCACCAGCAGCAGCATCGCCAGGTAGCACGCACCAGAAGCAGCATCGCAAGGTAGCACGCACCAGAAGCAGCATCGCAAGGTAGCACGCCCCAGAAGCAGCATCGCAAGGTAGCACGCACCAGAAGCAGCATCGCAAGGAAGCACGCACCAGAAGCAGCATCGCAAGGTAGCACGCACCAGAAGCAGCATCGCAAGGTAGCACGCACCAGCAGCAGCATCGCAAGGTAGCACGCACCAGAAGCAGCATCGCAAGGTAGCACGCACCAGAAGCAGCATCGCAAGGTAGCACGCACCAGAAGCAGCATCGCAAGGTAGCATGCACCAGAAGCAGCATCGCAAGGTAGCACGCACCAGAAGCAGCATCGCATGGTAGCACGCACCAGCAGCAGCATCGCAAGGTAGCACACACCAGAAGCAGCATCGCAAGGTAGCACGCACCAGCAGCAGCATCGCAAGGTAGCACGCACCAGAAGCAGCATCGCAAGGTAGCACGCACCAGAAGCAGCATCGCAAGGTAGCACGCACCAGAAGCAGCACCGCAAGGTAGCACGCACCAGAAGCAGCATCGCAAGGTAGCACGCACCAGAAGCAGCATCGCAAGGTAGCATGCACCAGCAGGAGCATCGCAAGGTAGCACGCACCAGAAGCAGCATCGCAAGGTAGCACGCACCAGAAGCAGCATCGCAAGGTAGCACGCACCAGAAGCAGCATCGCAAGGTAGCACGCACCAGAAGCGGAAGCAGGCAGCAAGCCTTTCTCTTGTAATGCGGTGAACGTGTGGCTGTTGGTCCCGCCTGCTATCTGCAAGTAACCTGCTCATGCGGGGGGTGACAGAGGGGGAAAGCGGAGCGAGCAGCGAAACAGCTGACGAGAATGACGGGAGTGAGAGAAGAGACAGGCTTGAGAGGGGAGAGATGAAGGACTATCAAACCGACATGACTGCACCCTGAGAAGCATAAACTGCGCACCATTTTGTGCCGCAGGTAAAGAACACCCCACCTTCACTAAGCCAAGCCACATGCTTTGTTTACCACTTATCACCTGGCCGCACCTCACCTGGCCACGCCTCACCTGGCGGTCTGTCCTGGAATGCCGCCACCCTCGCAGCCAATCGCACGGCGGCTCGTGTCGCTCCGGCACCTATGTCCCCACTCATAGGGCGACCGTCCAACTGGGGGGAGGGATGACGTGGGCGGAGGGGTATGGGAGGAAGGGGAGGGAGATAGGGAAATGTAGGGGGGATACGCACGGCGGCATGTGCCGCTCCGGCACCTATGGCTTCACCCATAGGGCGACCGTCCAACTGGGAGAAGGGATGGAGACACGCGGAGAGGGATGGGGTGAGGAAGGAAGGGGAGGGGGAGAGAGAAATGGATGGGGAGAGGGGAAAGGAAGGGCGGGAGGGAAATTGTGTGTACATGGCATGAGCTGCAGCACCTGTCAAAGAGTGGCAGTGGAGAGGCGTGGCAGCATGGAGCTGTACATATGGCAAGTGTGGCAGCATGGAGCTGTACATATGGCAAGTGTGGCAGCTTTACACTGCAACTGCCCCTTTTGCCCCCCGGAAACTTGCCGGACACCCTGGCCAGAATCTGCGAGAGCGCACCAGAGAGCAACGACGGGCCATTCTGGCACTCTCAGCTGCTCCATGCCATTTTTGAATCGCATGGGCACCAGCCTTCCAAAAGCATGCAGCGTGGCAGCATGTATGGCGTGGTTATGAAGCACAGAGTGCCATCCCACCTGCCAGAGATTGGCCGCAGAGAGGTGTGCGCACATGGTGCGGTGCAAGGTGTGCATTTCATGCACTTGACACACATGCTGTGGTGCACGGCATGCATTGAAGCGCTGCACATGGGAAGCATGGAGTGCCACTACACAGTACCGCCCAGAGGTTGGCGGGTGCGGCAGCATGGTGTGGGGGATGGTGTGCGGTGCGGTGCTGCATGGTGCCTCTTGATCTGACTCTGACTGACCTTACCTGCCAGAGGTTGGCGGCAGAGAGGTGTGGCAGCATGGTGCGGTGCATGGCATGCATGGCAGCCGGCATGCTGTCCCCCAGGTCTGGCAGACTCACCTGCATGCACGTGGGGGGGAGGGGAGGGATTGGGTATGGGGGACGAAGGAACACGGGAAGGTAGGATGGAATGATGAGAGGGACAGAAAGAGGAAGGCGTGGTGTGGTGTGGTGTGGTGTGTGGTAAATTGCATGGGGTGTGTACTAGGTCTGGCCGAGTCAAGTGTATGGATATGGGGGGGAGGAGGAGAAACGAAAGATGGAGGACACGATGAGAGGGAGGGAGGGAAGAGAGGCAGGATACAGGGATAGTGTGGTAGAAGGCAGGGAGAGTGGGAGAGAGGGACGAAGATACTTGTGAGAGGAGGAGGAGAAGTAGAGCGAGCGGACGTAGGAATGAGGTCAAAGAGAGGGGGGAGAGGGAGGGCGGAGAGATGCACAAGCACGCCAATGCCTCAAACAGACGAGTGCAAAGTAGGACCAGAGTTGGAAGGTCTTGAATACTTGTCAAACAGAGCAGAGGTGGAAAGCGGGTCAACTACTCACAGCAACCAGCTTGAGGGCCCCGGCTGCTGCACCGATGGATGCCCACAAGGCATTGAACTCGTCCAGGTGGCTGCACGTGATTGGATGGATGACGTGGAGAGAAGCGCATGGGGATACAGACAGCTTTATGCAGAGAGTCACCACCAGTGGATGGAACGTGCAAGCAAACTAGAGCAAGGATTGAAATGGGTAACAGGTGGCAACTGTTCGAATTTGACAGGTTAGTGAATCACATGGGGTGATTTACCCTGGCAGCGTGTGTATTTCGATGGCATCTATAAGACCGCTTCTCAGGAGGTTCAACGTGTCCTCCTCTGTTCGCTGGTGCTCCTCTGCCGCTGATGGGGGCGAGAGGGAGAGTGGGGGAGGGGGACAAAGAGAAAGACACGCACATGCACAGGCAGAGAGACGGGAGGAGGCAGAGAGAAGAGAGGAGGAAGACAGAGGGGAGGAGGCAAAGAGAGAAGGGAGGAGGAATACAGAGGGGAGGAGGCAGAGAGAAGGGAGGAGGAATACAGAGGGGAGGAGGCAGAGAGAAGGGCAAGGCAATCCTTGACGTAAAGACACCTCAAGAGGTGTGGGAAGTATGACAGGCAGAGAGGTATAGAGAGACGGTTTTGAGAGTGTATGAGTGGCGGCGAGGGAAGACACCATGGGCTGAGCGGGAACGGGAAGGGGTATACGGGCGCAACTGGGGCAGCTGTGATGTGATTCAAAGTGCCGTACGGCTGGCACTGGTAAATGCAGCGTGCCACCCATTGCAGTAGAAGGTTATGGGGATAAGGAAGGACAGACGTACAGATGAGAGCCAAGGGGCATACAGGGATGCATCGGCCACAGCCGTAGCACCGCTCTGCTATCACCCCAGCGCTGCTGCTGCTTCCGGCCATGCTGGCCTGTGCAGCAGTGGGGCCAGCATCTGTGGCAGTGGGTGGGAAGCGGATGGCAGCGGCGGGGCAGACTCGCTCACAGGGCCGAGGGCAGGTGGGCGGACAGACAGAGGCGTCGAATACTGGTGCGGTGCGGGCAGTGGAAGGAGGGAACGGAGGGGGCGAGGGGGAGTGACGGAGAGATCAATGGATGGTTTGGAGAGAGAGGAGGGGAAAGGTCACACGTGCAACAAGCAGATGTGGCTTGGTACAGCTGCAGAGAGAGGCATGCAGAGAGAGGCATAAAGAGAGAGGCATGCAGAGAGAGGCATGCAGAGAGAGGCATGCACTTCTCAAAGCACCCAAGCCCAGCTCGCCCTGAAGCCCACTCAAGCAACCCAACTGGCTTGCAAGCCTGCTTGATGGGAGCACGCACCTGCCTTGCGGAAGTGCGGGTCCTGCCCATCGCTCACACTAACCATCACCCATGGCCGCCTCCCTCCCTCCCCATTCCCCCCTCCAGCCCTGCCGTCCCCCACTCCCTCCCCTGCAACCTCCCCCCCACTCCCACCCCTCAACTGCCCTACTGCTTCCCCCACGCGCCCGTCCCTCTGGGCAGCTGGCGCTTCCCCCCCATACACGCGGCCATCCATGAGGGTGCATGCAGCCCAGGCCGTGGCGGCATTGATGCCGTCCCTTGCCGCCGCCACCACTGCTGGCTCCGCCGCACAGTCGATGCAGTCCACTGGGGGAAAGAATGGGGTGGGGGTAAGGATAAGGGGATAATGAGGGCGATACGTGGGAGATGGATAGGTTGAGACATGCTGCCGCCACCACTGCTGTGTCCGCCGCACAGTCGATGCAGTCCACTGGGGGAAAGAATGGGGTGGGGGTAAGGATAAGGGGATAATGAGGGCGATACGTGGGAGATGGATAGGTTGAGACATGCTGCCGCCACCACTGCTGTGTCCGCCGCACAGTCGATGCAGTCCACTGGGGGAAAGAATGGGGTGGGGGTAAGGATAAGGGGATAATGAGGGCGATACGTGGGAGATGGATAGGTTGAGACATGCTGCCGCCACCACTGCTGTGTCCGCCGCACAGTCTATGCAGTCCACTGGGGGGGAGGACGGGGTGGGGGTGCGGATAAGCGGATGAGGAGCGCGGTGCGTGGGAGAATGTTAGGATAGGTTGATACGTGCTGCCACAACCACTGGTCGCTCTGCCGCAAGGTCTGTGCAGTCCAGTGAAGGGGAGATGGGTTTTGAGGGTGAAAGGACGATGGCGAGATGAGGGAGGGATACAGGGGGCGAGAGAAAGATGAGTGTGGTGAGTGAGTGTGGTGAGTGAGTGAGTGAGTGAGTGAGACGAGTTGCTGCCACCGCTTCTCAGCAACTGCTGCCACTGCTGCAAAGCTGATGCCAAGCACCCGTGGTGCTTTGAAGGCGACAAGGAAGAACGTGCATCATGACTTCCCATCCTACACCTTGAGTGCTTCTCTCATTCCAGCCGGTGTAAGGGCCCTTGGCATGGATACGAGCCCGTAAAAAGCTTGCTCCCACCTAGTTAACATTTTCCCCCGGTCATCAGAAACAGAGGATGGGGTGTGGGCAGCAGTGCTGCTGTGCTGCCTGCCATCATGACTTCCCATCTCATAACTGCATTCCACCGTACCTCATCAGCATCTCACCGTACCTCATCAGCATCTCACCGTACCTCATCAGCATCTCACCGTACCTCATCAGCATCTCACCGTACCTCATCAGCATCTCACCGTACCTCATCAGCATCTCACCGTACCTCATCAGCATCTCACCGTACCTCATCAGCATCTCACCGTACCTCATCAGCATCTCACCGTACCTCATCAGCATCTCACCGTACCTCGTCAGCATCTCACCGTACCTCATGAGCATTCCACCACTGTACCTCGAGCATGGCAGTGCGTATCCCACCCCAGCACAGCACAGCACAGCACGCACCGCCTGCAAGGGTGTAGATGAAGGTGAGGTTGCGCACATCTGCCACGTCCTGGTGTGGTGGGGGCGTGGGGGGGAGAGGCGCAAGAGGCGCGGGGAAGACGGAGAGCGGCAGCAAGGTGTGTTCGCGCGTAGGGTGTAGATGAAGGTGAGGTTGCGCACATCTGCCACGTCCTGGTGGGGGCGTTGGGGGAGAGACAAGAGGGGCGAGGGGGAAAGGAGAGGGCAGACGAGCACGCACAACGCACAGGGCTGTGAGCGAGCACGAGGGCATCTAAGTGGCGTCAAAGGTGAGCTGTGAAAAGCACCGCCTGCGAGGAGAGGGTGTAGATGACTGCAAGGCTGTGCCCGTCTGCCACGTCACGTCCTGGTGTGGTTGGGGCGTGGCCGCGTGTGGGGAAGACACGAGGGGCCGAGGGGGAAGGAGAGTGCAGCGCAGGGGCAGAGGGCAGGCGTGAGGCACGGGCAGGCGTGCCTGTTCATAGTAGCAGACACAGGGAGGGGGGGATGCGTTGGCAGCACGGTCCAGGTGCAGGCAGGCACAGCCCACAGGGAATCTGAAAAGGGAAGCCGTGAGTGACAGCAGCACGCACAGCTCACCTCGAAGCTGCGCTGCCCCCACGTCATATGAGCTTCAAGACTACCACCGCCCCTCGTGCAGTGAGTGAAACGGCTCTGCCACGGTGCCACCTGCCCCTCGTGCATTCCCACTCTGCTCACATTGCACTTCCACTACCACCACTCTCAACACACCCGCACCTCACCCGAAGCTGGCCCCGCGAATGAGTTTCCGCCACCGCCCCACCTCGAGCAATCGCAGCAGCTGTGCCCCATGCCATGCCAATCATATATTTTCGGTCCACTCAAAATACAATCAGCACCAATCCGCGGCTCACCTCGAAGCTGGCCCCGCAAATGAGCTTCACCCACCGCCCTGCGTCCAGTGACCGCAATGGCTCCTCCGCATGCCCCTCGTGCACCACCGCACTCCCCCTCTCTGCTGTGCCTTCCCCGCGTCCCGCGCTGCCATGCGCATAGCGCTCAGGTGCATGCGTGCGGCGAATCAGCTCTGCGATCCGCTCGATACTGTCACACCCGGCTGCTCTCCCCCCTGTCTCAGCAGCAGCAGCTGTTGCCACGAAACCGCCCCTAGAAAGGTCGCCGCGGGACGAGTCGACGACAGCCGTGCGTGCGCTGAAGCAAATGCGCGGAGCACTGCGGATCGCCGCCTCGCGCCCCCTTCCCTCTCCCCGCCCCACGCGCTTCATGCGCGCGCGGCATGGGAGACGAGATCGTTCGGAGCCGGTCTCTGCCGCGTGCCTCTCTGCTGCACGCCTCGCAGCCTGCGCTGCACGCAAACACGACAGCACTGTAGGCAATGAGCGGGCGACACCTTTTATGTTGAGTCGACTCAGAAATCGCAAACACAGCAGCACTCGAGAAGTTGTGGTGGCAGCAACCATGACATGTCAATGTGATGTATCTCGTGGCTCTGCGACAGCTTGGCACGGCCATGATGCCATCGTGCAGGTGGGAAATCGCCGAGTAGGTGCGACAAGTACGGTCCGCATGAGACAACGGACGTCTGGGAAAGCTGGCTGGGGAGAAAACGAGGGATGGTGAGGATGGCGCAAGTCAACGTACTGGCGAAGCCACGCCGTCCGTGCTACCGTGGATGAATGGAGGAGAAATCAGGCTTACCGCGATCTCCGGCCCATGGCGGAGGTGCGAAATGCACTGGTAAGGGTGCGACGCGAGTAGTCATCTTGTGGATAGAACAAAGTGCGGGGAGCCGCGAAATATGGGCTACTGATGATTAGAATGAGGGATTGAATCGAATGTAAGCGGCATACGCGTTAAGGTGCACCAACAGAAGCTCTGGTAGCTCAGATATTATCCAACAAGTGTTTTGTGTTAAATATATCTACAAAATGGTAATCTGTTTCGTAACCGGAATTTCGCTGTGTCGCAAAGTACGTCTGGAAAACACCCTGTGCAGGTCTTTTTTCGTAGCAACCGACAGTGGTCGCTGCGGTCCACCAAATCATGTCGGCAAAGTGCCCTGCGACGCCCAAGCTGGCAGCCTTCTTGCAGAGCGTGGAGTTCGCGAAGAGAACCTGCGGCTCGTAAGAGCAACCTGGGGCCAGCTAGGGCAACAAACGGCGGTGGTCCAGCCATTGGCGGGTCAACAGCTCCTCAAACATCCACCAGGCGCGCAATCCGCGCCTAGGCGGAACCATCTGGAACTTGCCCTGCTTGCGCTGCGCGCTCTCCAGGTTGAACACTTTGCACGCGGCGAAGCTCGCCCAGCACAGGGTCCTGTCCTGGCGGAATCGAACGAGTGGCTCTCACATCACAGCGACCACAGTGCGCGGTGGGCAGGTAGAGCACACGGAATTTCGACGAACTGCCCTCCTAGGATCCCATCCCATCCCACCCAGTGCGCCGCAAAACACTAGCTCGTGCCCAGCCACCCAGCCCTCCCTCAAAGCCTCTTAGACGGAATAGTAGGCTAGAGCAGGGAAGGGAAGAAAGGCGTACAGTTGAGCTGACGGAGATCTGTGCACGAGAGCAGAGAGCACCAGGAGCACAAGGAGGAGACGGTAGCAAAACTGAGTTGACCACTTCCTCCCATCCCATCTCAAGGGCGTGACCTTGCGCGCATCCCCGCATCTCAACGCCCCCCGCCCACGGCGCACGCCTTGCGCTGCTTCCGCGCCGTGGATCTCCGAGTTGCGCGGGGCTTGACCCCACTTGCCGAGGACTCAGCAGCTGTCCACCCTCGTGACGAATCCCACTCATACCAGCTTCTAGCTACTGGTCACTGATTAGTACTGTAGTTACTTAATACGTTCGCGTCGGCATGCCGCAGCACAGCGAGCCGCGGCTGGATGTGCAGGCATCAAGGCGCTGGCGTCGAGTCTAGATTTTGAATTCAGCGAATAGCGAACGGCTAGTAGTTATCAGCGATCACCAGAACTAGAGCGAGGGCTTTCGCCCTAGCAGGGGCGCAAAATTCACGTGGCTGGATCGTGTGGGCCACGCTGCACCACATAAGGAACAACGATGAAGCCCCGTTGCCTCCGTGTGTCCAGCGACGGCGCGCAGTGCGGCGGCCGCGATGTCAGCACAGGGGGCGCGGGAGAACGCGACGGCATGGGCACGGCAGAGCCGGCTGTGACTCAGCGCGGCGGTTGTAGCACAGATAGCCCACCAGGTGGCGCGATAGATAGCGGTGCCGACCGCGTCGCGAGCGGGCGATGCGCTGGCAGTTGCGGCGGCGGACACGAACTAGCTCAGTCTCGAGCTAGCGCCGAAAGGGGACAGCGTAGAAGCAGCGAATGTTGGTCCGCGGAGCCAAATAGAAAGTTGGGTACTAGTAGCGTCGAGGACTCGCGCCAACGGAGCAGATTAGGCGGCGACAGATGCGGCAGGCGGTGCGCGCAGCACGTGGCGGAGCGGCAGCTGCGGCTGCTGCGCCCCGCGCTGCTGCTGCTCGCGCTGCTGTCGTGCGGCCACTCGCCGCTCTCGCCCCCTGCGGGGCCGCTCGCTCCAGCCCGTGATGCTCCCGCGCGCGCCCGCCGCTCCGCGCTGCTCGTGGGCGCCACCCGCGCCTACTTCCCCTTCTTCCCCTCCTTTGCACAGGTAGGTCTTCTAACACACGATTCCCATCATAGACCCGACCTCGCCTCTTAGAACCGAATTCGCCTCGTAAGTCCGGGGTTCTTAAAGTCGCCTTATGAAGCTCCCACACTGATGTTGCGTGGGTTTCGGAACTCGTAGTCCTGGGAGGCGCTCGTGCTCACCTCGTGCTGGCGACACGTTACAGGCGTTAGAAGCGAAACGAAGGCTTTTCGCCGACTCCTATTCCGGCGATGCCGCCTCTCCTCCACTCGTCTTTTCACGTCCCAGTCGGTCCCCCGTTACTCCTCCTCTCCCCCTTCCGCTCTCCGCAACACTTGTTAACTTTCCTCGCCCGCCCCTCCTCTCCCTCCAGCTCTCTTCCGCCCTTCCGCCTCCCCCCCCGCCCTCGTCCCATACACCCGTTTCCCCGTTCCGTCCGTTCGTTCCCTTCTGTAGCTGTCTCGAGTCAACCCTTCCCCCCTTTCACTCACGCTCTACCCCGTTGTCCCCGACGGTATCCATCCTCGATATTGCGTCTCCTCTTACTCGACGTGTATCCGCCCCGCTTCCTTACCCAGCCTTCCCGCCATTCTTTCCCGTCCCTCCCACTCCCTTCTGCCTGCGACAGTACTCGGGGCCGAACGAAGCGTCGGCGACGCTGGCGACGAGCAGCAAAGATTCTGCGACGAATGTGACGAGTGCGGGCGACAGCAAAGGCAAGAGTAGCAGCAGTAGCAGCAGTGACAAGAGCAATAGCAGCAGTAGCAGCAGTGACAAGAGCAATAGCAGCAGTAGCAGCAGTGACAAGAGCAATAGCAGCAGCAGCAGCAGCAGCAGCAGCAGCAGCAGCAGCAGCAGCAGCAGTAGCAGCAGTAGTGGCGGTAGCAGCAGCAGCGGTGACAAGAGCAGCGGATCGGCGGCGGGCGGCAGTGAGAAATCGAATTCCACGTCGGACGGAAGCTCATCGAGCAGCAGTTCATCGTCAGGCAGTGACAAGTCATCGTCAAGCAATGACACGTCATCGTCAGGCAGTGACAAGTCCTCGTCGAGCGGTGACACGTCATCGTCAGGCAGTGACAAGTCATCGTCACGCAATGACACGTCATCGTCAGGCAGTGACAAGTCCTCGTCGAGCGGTGACACGTCATCGTCAGGCAGTGACAAGTCATCGTCAAGCAATGACACGTCATCGTCAGGCAGTGACAAGTCCTCGTCGAGCGGTGACACGTTATCGTCAGGCAGTGACAAGTCATCGTCACACAATGACACGTCATCGTCAGGCAGTGACAATTCCTCGTCGAGCGGTGACACGTCATCGTCAGGCAGTGACAAGTCATCGTCAAGCAATGACACGTCATCGTCAGGCAGTGACAAGTCCTCGTCGAGCGGTGACACGTCATCGTCAGGCAGTGACAAGTCATCGTCACGCAATGACACGTCATCGTCAGGCAGTGACAAGTCATCGTCAAGCAATGACACGTCATCGTCAGGCAGTGACAAGTCCTCGTCGAGCGGTGACACGTCATCGTCAGACAGTGATAAGTCCTCGTCCGGCAGTGACACGTCATCGTCAGGCAGTGACACGTCATCGAATTCAAGCGAACCATCCACCGACAGCAGCGGCGGCGGAAGCGACACGGGCGGAGGGGGGCAGTCGGCGGAAGATTGGCGCGCGCCGTGGGCGAAGGGTGGAGTGGCGGAGGCGGAGACGGTGCACCTGGTGCTCACGCGCGGAGCGCGAGCGGCGCAAGCGGAGGTGAGCCGCCGAGGCTAGCGGGGGTGGGCGCGGTTGGCGGTAAGCAGGGAGGAGCGGCGCGCGGAGTGCTGGGGTAGAGCCGGGAAAGGGGTTGCGAGTGGGGGAAGGGGTGCAGGCGTTTCTTGCGCGCTGCTCGCTGGATTGCGGGGTTGCGCGGGAGGGAAGGGGCGGGCGGTTATTGCTCTGGCGGAATGGAACAAGTCTCCCGCTTCCCGCCTGCTCCCCCCGGCTATCCCCTTATTCCCTCGCTTTTTCCCCTCCCTCTTCCCATTGATACTTCCTCAACTCCTCCCCGCCTCTCTCTCCGCCCCCCGGCGCGTTGCGCCCTCGGGCGCAGCGACAATGGGGTTTCCAACTCCGCCTCACTTTTCCCCCTTCTCCCATTCCCTCGCGCCCCCCACCTCCCCCTCTCTCTTCTCCACCACCTCCTCTTCCCGCCATTCACCCGCGCGCCAGCCCGCACCCGCGGCGGACTCGGCGGTGGTGGCAGCGGGGCTGCCGGAGCTGCCGCGAGTGGGGCTGAAGAACGAGATCCGCTACGAGTACGGCGACGCGCGGGACAGCGCGCTGCTCAGGGTCAGTCCACCACAACACAACACACATACCACCGCGCTGTGTCTGGTGAAATGATCCTTGAGGCGACACGTGGTAACGCCGCCTTGTGCCCACGTGGTTATTAGGGCTTTTCATGTTCCAACTGCTCGCGCTGTCTTCCTAGCCACGTGTCGATACCCCTTTTCTCCCCTTCCTTCACTCCCCCCATCATCCCCCACTTCCTCGTACTTCCCCGGCTTCCCCTCCCCCTTCGTACTCCCCCCCTCCCTCTCTTACTCCCTCCTCATCTACCACCCCCACCCTCCACCCCCCCTTTTCCCTCCTCTCCCTCCCCGCTCTCTATTCCCCCTTCCCCCGTGTCCCCCACCCTTCCCCTCCCCCCCCTCCGCCAGACCACCATGTACACGGCTGTGGGGGCGAGTCGCGACCCCGCACTGAGCGCGGAGTTCAGGGCCGCCGTCTCTCGCGCTGAAGTCACCATCGCGCCACCCCGCAGCAGCGCGGACAGGTGGGGAGAGGGGGAGGGGGGAGGGGGGAGGGGAGGAAGTGGTGCGGCTGGGGATGGGCGGGCGGGAGGGTTGGGGTGGAAGGAAACGCATGGAGGCGTGGAGAGGGCTATACGGCGACAGGGAAGGGGGGAGGGATGGTGGGGGAAGACATATGGATGAGCGCAGGTGGGTGGTGAGGAATGGATTGGGCGTGATGGCATGATAGCATGATGACATGATGGCATGATGGCATGATGGACACGGCGTCCCACTTAGACTGGCCAGGATAGGCCTCCCACCTGCGCTTCCCCACGACCCTACTTTCCCCCTCCCCCCCTCCCCCCACCAGGTACGACACCTGGGCGCGAGTGGGGTCATCCCAGCAATCATGCAGTGTGCTGGTCGATACGGCGCCCCACCTGCTCTGGTCGATACGGCGCCCCACCTGCTCTGGTCGATACGGCGCCCCACCTGCTCTGCCTACCCTTCACTCATCGCTTTCCCCCAGTCTCTCCCCTGTCTCTCCCCCGACACTCCCCCTTCTCCTCTCTTCCCTCCCCTCTCCTCTCTCCTCTCCCCTCTCTTCCCCCCCCCAACCAGGTACCACACGGAGGTGAGAGTGGGGTCATCACAGCAGGCGTTCAGCGTGGTGGTGGACACGGCCAGCGACCTGCTCTGGCTGCCCTGCGACTGCGTGCGCTGCACCGATGGACCCTCCTCCTCCGCCACGGTAAGCACAGCCCTGCACACACGCCCACATCGCCACCACCCCCTGCCACTCCTCCACATGCTCCACCCGGCCCGCCAACCTCTCACCCCCTGCCCTGCCCCCCTCTCTACCTGCGCCTTTCGCCCCTATCCCTCCATTTCCTCTGCCCACTCTCTGCCTCCCAACCCCTCCAGCCAACGCCGTTCAAGCCGGCGGAGTCCACGACGCTCACCACCATGCCGTGCGACTCCTCCTCCTGCTCCGCCTGGGCGGACGACCGCTCGCTCTCAGTGGGCTGCAGCATTGCACCGGACCTACCCACGCCGGACTCCACGTGCCAGTACTCGCTGGTGTCGAGCTCCCCCCAGGGCAGCTCAGCGGGCAACCTGGTGCGCGACGAGGTGCATCTGAGTTTAGAAGACGGCAGCTTCCTCGCGCCCAACCTCACCTTCGGGTACATGTGCTGTCACCTTGGGGTTGGTGTGCATGCGGGCGCGGTGCCATGCATGCTTGTGTGCTTCGCTGCTCGTCACGCTTGTCAACGCCATGCCTCTCCCACCGATTGCCCTACTTCCCCGCTCTTACCCCCTCTCCCCGTTTTCTCCCCCTCTCACAGCTGCGGGCGCCATCAGTCAGGGCTGCTGGGCACAGAGAGCAGCGCCCCACGAGGCGTGCTGGGCACAGAGAGCAGCGCCCCACGAGGCGTGCTGGGCACAGAGAGCAGCGCCCCACGAGGCGTGCTGGGCACAGAGAGCAGCGCCCCACGAGGCGTGCTGGGCTTGGGCGCGGGGACGCTCGTGTTTTGAGTCGACTCAAAACGGGACACTCTCACTGCCCCTCCCACTCCATCCCCTTCCTCACCCTTCCCCCCTCCCCCACCCCATCCCTCCGTCCCCACCCCACCCTCCCTCCGTCGTCAGCTGGGGCGGTATCAAGCAGGGGTGTTGGCAACAGACAACGGTGCCCCAGGGGGTGTTGGCAACAGACAACGGTGCCCCAGGGGGTGTTGGCAACAGACAACGGTGCCCCAGGGGGTGTTGGCAACAGACAACGGTGCCCCAGGGGGTGTTGGCAACAGACAACGGTGCCCCAGGGGGTGTTGGCAACAGACAACGGTGCCCCAGGGGGTGTTGGCAACAGACAACGGTGCCCCAGGGGGTGTTGGCAACAGACAACGGTGCCCCAGGGGGTGTTGGCAACAGACAACGGTGCCCCAGGGGGTGTTGGCAACAGACAACGGTGCCCCAGGGGGTGTTGGCAACAGACAACGGTGCCCCAGGGGGTGTTGGCAACAGACAACGGTGCCCCAGGGGGTGTTGGCAACAGACAACGGTGCCCCAGGGGGTGTTGGCAACAGACAACGGTGCCCCAGGGGGTGTTGGCAACAGACAACGGTGCCCCAGGGGGTGTTGGCAACAGACAACGGTGCCCCAGGGGGTGTTGGCAACAGACAACGGTGCCCCAGGGGGCGTGCTGGGCTGGGCACAGGGGCGCTGTCTCCCCCCATCTTCCCACTTCCTCTCATTCCCTTGGTGCCACTCCCCTCTTCCCCCCATTTTCTCCCCCCAGCTGCGGGCGGTACCAAACAGGAGTGTTGGCGACGGACAACGGTGCGCCAGGGGGCGTGTTGGGGCTGGGCACGGGGCCGCTCTCGCCGCTCTCCCAGCTGGCGGAGAGCGGGGTGGTGCCGCGGGCGGGCTTCGCACTGTGCCTGGAGGGGGACGATGCCGCTGCTGCTGGGGGGGGCAGCCACCTGCTGCTGGGGACCACTGACGCCGGGCCTGCTAGCGGGTCGACCCGCGTGTACAAGAACAGCCTCAGGTGGCTTGCCTTGCCTCGCATTGGGATGACGTGAGGGCGGGTGACGTGATTGGTGGTGTGTGTTGCTGCCGGCAGTGCAAGGCTGTGTGTGCTTTTTCAGAGACTCGTCCGTTGAGTGCGACCCTCAAGCCGAGGCCCACACGAGTGGGGACAAGTGCAAAAGCACAAGCTCATGTGGGGGGTGCACCCTTCAGCCTCCTGTGTACCCACCACCCCCTTCCGTGGCCCGTGACATCAGTGCGTTGGTGTATGTGAAGATAAAGGACATGCGTCTGGGCACGGCGGACCTGGTCGTCACACCCGACATGTTCCCACCGCTCTCCTCCACGGGAGCAGGGGGCACGGCACTCGACTCCTCCTCTGCTGCCTCCGTGCTGCCCCGACCCGCCTACATGGCTCTCGCCACCGCTGTGAGTGGTTTGCAGTGGTTCAGAGTGGTTCGAACTGGTGCACTCCCTCGTCTCACGTTGTCCCCCCTCCCCCGTCTCTCATTTCCTTGTGAAGGTGAGCATGTCTCAAGCCCTCCCGTGTTCGTTCCCATCTCCCCGTCTGTCACGTCCCCCCGTGCATGGCGTATGTGTCGTGTGGGAACGCACAGAAGCGTGTGGCAGCCTCCATTGGTGGAAAAAAGGAATGCAGGGCACACACAAAAACTGACAACACACACGAAACAATGAGGAATGCAGGGCACTAGAGGCCCTTATATGGGCAAGGAGGCAAAGGGGCAGAGGGCAGAGGCCAAGGGCCGAGGGAAAGGCTTTCTCACTCTCTCACTCTCACATTCTCTCACTCGCTCACTCGCTCACTCTCTCACTCTCTCACTCTCTCACTCGCTCACTCTCTCACTCGCTCACTCGCTCACTCTCTCACTCGCTCACTCGCTCACTCTCTCACTCTCTCACTCTCTCACTCTCTCACTCGCTCACTCTCTCACTCTCTCTCACTCGCTCACTCGCTCACTCTCTCACTCGCTCATTCTCTCACTCTCACTCTCTCACTCGTTCACTTGCTCACTCGCTCACTCGCTCCACTCTACCCTCTGCGCATGTGCGTGGGTGTGTGAATCCTCTCCTCTCCATCCTTCCCCCCCCCATCAGTTCCTGGTGCAGTACCCGCTCATGAAGTTTGCGTCGTCGGAGAGCGCACAGGAGGGGGTGGACTGCCTTGACGCCAATGACTACCACCAGTGAGTGCCGCAGTGTGCGGGTGAGCAGGGGCAGGGGGGAGAGGATGGGAGAGGGAGCATGCAGCATAGAAAACAGGGACCATGGGGGTGTCAGAGAAACCAAGCACTCGGCAGGGGCGGCCTCCATTGGTGGAAAAGCAAGAGCGCTTGTTCTGCCATGCCCTCTTTCACTGCTTGTTCTGCCATGCCCTCTTTCACTGCTTGTTCTGCCATGCCCTCTTTCACTGCTTGTTCTGCCATGCCCTCTTTCACTGCTTGTTCTGCCATGCCCTCTTTCACTGCTTGTTCTGCCATGCCCTCTTTCACTGCTTGTTCTGCCATGCCCTCTTTCACTGCTTGTTCTGCCATGCCCTCTTTCACTGCTTGTTCTGCCATGCCCTCTTTCACTGCTTGTTCTGCCATGCCCTCTTTCACTGCTTGTTCTGCCATGCCCTCTTTCACTGCTTGTTCTGCCATGCCCTCTTTCACTGCTTGTTCTGCCATGCCCTCTTTCACTCCTTGCCCTTGTGGTGCTCCTCCCTCAACGCGCTACCAGTGCCCTGATCCCATCCCCTCCCTCCCATCTCCTGCTTCATTCTACCACTCCAGCCATCTCTCTCACCCACCACCACCCCCTCCCTGCCCCCCCGCCTGTCAACCTGCCCTCCCTCAACCCCTCCCTTCAGGGCATCCATCCATGACCCCCTCGGAGTTCCTACAGCAGTTCCCCCCCCCTCACACTCATGCTGGCGGGCGGCAAGGGCAGCGCTGACTTCACCGTCACCTTCTCTAATTGTGCACGCCATGCCGCACCCCCACCCTTCCACCCGTCCCCCTCCCCCCAGGGCATCCATGACCCCCGCGGAGTTCCTGCAGCAGTTCCCGCCGCTCACACTCGTGCTGGCGGGCGGCAAGGGCAGCGCTGACTTCACCATCGCGCCCACCAACTACCTCAAGATCGTACGTGCCCTGCCCACAGGTGCTCACTTTCTACCGCCACTTAAAGCCCGCGGCCCAAATTGCGGAGCGCGCGGGTCAATCTTTTTAAACTTGACGAAGTAGTGTTTGCAAGCTTTGAAAAGAAGCGGGCCTGCAATTTGGGACTTTTGGGGACTGAACCAAGGCCCAGGGCGAAATACCAGGGCAGGCTGGGTTTGGCGGAAAAAAACGGAAAAAAATAAAATAAAAAAAATAACGAAATCGGAATCACTCGCCAAAACCCAGACCAGAAAAACCCCCTCGCGTCAACCTTTTAAAACTTGTGCAATTTGGGCCAACGGCTTTAAACTTACGCGTGTACCCAGAGGTGGTGACGTTTGAGTTGACTTGAAAACCCACGAACGTAGCCATCGCCTGCCCTCCTCCCTTGCTACTGTGCTGACGCCGTGCAAGTGGCGTTTGCAAGCCGCAAGCTGCTGCTGCTTCACTAGGTCGTCCTCATACCACGCCTTACTTGAGCTGTCAGATCACTTTGCACCACAGCGCACCGCACTGCACTCTTGTTCGTTGCTCATCTGTTTCCGCCCTGAGCCCTCCTCCTACTCACTAATTGATACAGACGGCTGGGGAGCACATGTGCTGCAACGCGCATGTGCTGCAACGCGCATGTGCTGCAACGCGCATGTGCTGCAACGCGCATGTGCTGCAACGCGCATGTGCTGCAACGCGCAGTGACAAATACGGCCCCAGCCCGCCTCCTGATATCGCAACCTGGGCCCCTCGTGTCATGTTGCAACATTGACCGCTGCATCTCCTTGTCTTCCCCGTGCACCGCTTCAACCTCACAGCCACTCCCCCCTCTCTGCAACGTGCCCTCGCCAGGTGCCGAGCAGCCCACACGTGGTGTGCTTCACAGTGCGCATGGCCAGCAGTCAGGCAGAGCGTGCAGTGATAGGCGACCTGTGGATGCGGGACAAGTACCTTGTCATTGACACGCACAAAGATACACTCTCATGGATCGATGCTAACTGTAAGTCAGGGGGATGATGCTAACTGTAAGTCAGGGGGAGCGGGCTGTGAGAGGCGATGCATGGATGAGAGACATGTACCTTGTGGTTGACCCACACACGGACCTGCTCTAACGGCTGGAAGCCAACTGTCAGTGCCTTGCGTACGCGCATGACACACCATTCGTGCTTTAAGGGCCCATGCTCTGCTCCGCCATGCTCTGCTCCGCCATGCTCTGCTCCGCCATGCTGTGCCTCCCTCTCTCACATCCCACTGCCTCCCTCTCTTGTACTTTCCCTATCCACTTGCCGACCTCTCTTCTCCTCCTTCCCCCCCTCCTCTCTCACCTCACCACCACAGGCACCACAGGCCTTGCCATTATCCGCAACACCACTCACACCACCACCAACACCACCTCCTCCTCTTCCCCCTCCCCCCTCTTTCCCACCTCCCCCGCGCCCTCCGGCCAGCCCCAGCCCCCGTTCAACTCCTCCTCCACCAACCCACCAGACGGCCCCCCTCCCCCCACAGCACAGCCCAGCACCTCCCCCCCTTCCATCTTCGAGAACAGCCCCGGCCCCACTGCTGCTCCCCCCTCCATCGCCCCACCCTCCATTCCCCCCCCCTCCCTGCCTCCCCCAAGCCCCCCTCCACCACCTCCACCCCCGCCCCCAAGCCCCCCTCCACCCAACAACCCTCCCCCGAACCCCCCTCCTCCACCCAACAACCCTCCCCCGAACCCCCCTCCTCCACCCAACAACCCTCCCCCAGCCAACCCGCCTCCTCCGCCGTCCCCGCCAATCGAGCCCCCTATAGCCGGCTGTCAGCCGTCGCCCACGGACTGCGCCTTCTTCTTCGCGGGCCACGAGGGGCAGGTGCCCACCTTCTCTATCCAGCCGCGCCAGGGCGACGCTGTGCTGTCCACGAGTGAGCTTAAAACGAGTATAATGGGCAGCGACATCCAGGTGCTGGCAGGCAACTCGGGCGAGGCGCAGATCGTGTGCGCCGAGGGCCAGGGGGCCGGGGCCGGCCTGGGGGGTGGGCAAGGCTCGGGGCTGACAGCAACGGCAGCCATGGCTATGAACGATGGTGCTGTGACACAGGACATTGGCAACCAGCTGTATATCACCGGCACGGTGCGTCACATGGAGAGGGTGTGGGGTTTGATGTGCGTGGTATGTGGTTTGTGTATGGTTGTGCATGGTGCATGGCGGTGCATGGTGCATGGTGGTGCATGTTGCGTGGTGCGTGGTGGTGCATGGGGCATGGTGCATGGTGCATGGTGCATGGGGCATGGGGCATGGTGCATGGTGCATGGGGCATGGGGCATGGTGCAGCATACACGCTCAACCTGCGAAGAGCCCATTCTTCCTCGCTTCATCTCCTCATTCTGTACTCACCTCTTCCTTGTATGCTCATGGTGTGATTCGGTTCCCATTCCCTCAACAGGACGTGCAGCAGCGCACGTTCAACCGAATAGAGAACCTGTTTGCACTGCGCAACGCGTATGTGAAGCTGCGGGTGACGGCGGCGGAGATGGACGTGTTTGGCATGACGGTCAACATGAACCCCGGCGACGGCAACTCCTACTTCCCCGAGGACAAGCGCTGCGTGCTCTTCAAAACCAAACTGCCTGACGGCTGACCGCCTGGGCAACTGGCTAGCTGGCAGGTTGGGCGACTGGGTGACTGCATGGGTGACAGACAGTGTGGAGGATGAAGCAGCAGCAGTCCCAGTTGCCAGGCTTGCCCACCAAGTGTCTCCCATGAACCGAATGACACGGTTCGTGGTAAGCTCTCAGGAAAATGCCTAAATGGGCGCAAAACTTGGGGCTTTGAGAGGCACCCGTAGCTGTTGTATCACAACACATCCTCATCGCATTCCCTCCCCACCTGCACCCACATTCACTAGCATGGTAGTCTTGTTGGTATAATCAGTCCTTTCGGGGCATGGCCATGCAGTGATGTTGTAATGTTGTGTGATGTGTAACATAGTGCAATAAAGTATGATAGCGCACCATCCTGGACCCCTGTATACCACAGATATGTTGCATTCTGTTACGTGTGCAATTGAGTGAACGAACGAGAATTGCACTATCGAAGCAAAAAAGTACAATGAGCGAAGGCATGAGCGAAGGTTTATATAGCGAAACAATAGTGGTAACGGTAATGGACTGTGGTTGTCGCGCGTCGAGCCTGAGACTGAGGTTGGGAAAGTGTCGAAGCGTAGGCCCGGAGCGCGGGTTACCAGCCGAGCCGTGAGGTCGGGATGCGATGTGCGAAAAAGGCGGGATGATGAATGATGCGATGGTCGCGAGTGGTAACGGTGCTGACTGAGGTGCTACAGTGACGTACGCGCTGGGCAGGGACGCGAAGTAAGGAAAAGGGAATTTCCTTACACTACCCCCCTCCCCAAGGAGGCCCTCCTTACGAGAGCGCATGGACGTCGCGGAAATTTCGGCTTCGCAGATACTCGGTGAAGACAGGGTGGTTCTCAATTTTATCCATGGGGACCCAGTTGTCTTCTGTGGCCGTTCGGTCCTTCCAGCGAATTAGGAACTCGATCCTTCGGGCTCCCCGAGGGTCGCGGACGCGGTGGCTGAGGATTTTGTCAGGGGTGATGAGTGGTTCGGTTGGGGGACGTGTCATGCTGGCTGGGCGATGTCGTGGCAGTTGGCTCGTGGATGGGATGTAAGGGCGAAGTAGGCTGACGTGGAATGACGGGCTGACGTACCAGTCAGCGGGGAGGAGGAGGTGGGCGGTAACGGGTGTGATCATGTGGCTGATGCGAAATGGCCCACAATATCGGGGGCGAAGTTTTGGAGTGATGGGCAGGCGAAGGTTCTGAGTGTCGAGTAAAACGAGGTCGTCGGGCTGATAAGTAACGGGTCGGCGATGTCGATCGGCGTTGCGTTTAGCGATGATGTTTGATTTTTTTATTGCTTCTGCTGCCCTGGTCCGTGCTGCCTGCAGAATCTCGGCGAACTGTTGTGCTCGTGGGACGGGGTTGTCGGGATTCGGTGTCATGGGTACTGTTGGGTCCTGTCCGTAATTTAGATAAAACGGCGACTGTTGCGTCGTGGCTGATGGTGCGTTATTGTATGCGAACTCGATAAGTGGCAGCTGCTGTTCCCACGTATTCGGGTCGTCGCACGTGGCTCGAATCAGCTGCTCCATGGTCTGATTTGTTCGTTCCGTCTGTCCGTCGGTTTCGGGGTGATAGGATGAACTGAACTGTAAGCGTGTGCCGAACTGCTGCCACAGGTTCCGCCAGAAGTTGCTGGTAAATTTCGTGTCCCTGTCGCTGATGATCGACGCGGGTATCCCGTGCAGTCGTACGACGGTGGAGATGAATAGTCGGGCGGTTTCTTCGGCTGTGATGGATTTCCTGCATGCTGCGAAATGAGCCATTTTCGTTAGTCGATCGACGACGACCAGGATCGCGTCATTCCCACTCGCCCCAGCTGGTAACCCCGTGACGAAGTCCATCGTCACCTGCTGCCAAGCACGCTCTGGAGGCGGGATGGGTTGTAATTGCCCCGCTGGTCGCTTCCTGCTTGACTTCATGAGCTGGCAAGTGGGACACGATGCCACATGTCGTTGCACATCGGTCAACATTTCTGGCCAGTAGTAGTACCGCTGCAGCTGCTGCCGTGTTTTTTCTACCCCGAAATGTCCCGAGGTAACTCCATCGTGTGCTTCCTGTAACAGTAGTTCCCGCAGTAGCGTGTATCCCGGTACCCAGATGCGGTCGGTTCCAGTTTTTACGTAATAGACTCCTTTTGCCGCTGCGAATTGCTGTGAGTTGCCTCCTGTAAAGAACGAGTCTGTTTGATATCCGTGGGTAAATAGGCCGGTAAGCAGTGGGCTGGTCTGGGCGAGTAGTATCGCGTGGATCTGGGCAGTGGGGCGGGTCAGTGCGTCGGCGATATTCGATGCTCCTTTTTTGTATGTGACCGTATAGTGAAAATTCGACTCGAGGAAATCGAGCCATCGAATCTGTCGTGGGTTGAGGTGGGGCTGTGCGCGGAGGTACTGTAGAGATCGGTGGTCTGTCCGTACTGTCACGTCTGCGCCAGTCAAGTAGCAGCGCCAAACTTTGAATGCATGCACGATCGCGAGCATTTCGCGGTCGTGTATCGGGTAATTTCGCTCAGGCGGATGTAGTTTGCGTGATTCGTAGGCGATGGGTTGGAGGCCGTTGCCGAAGTCCTGTAACAGTACAGCTCCGATGGCGATGTCACTTGCGTCGGTAACCACTTCGAAAGGGCGGTGGGGATCAGCGATACGTAGAACGGGTGGTGGACAGAGGACGTTTTTTAGGGCAGAGAAGGCAGCATGCTCTTTCTCCCCCCACGTAAAAGCGACCCCCTTACGCAGTAAATCAGTTAGTGGGGCTGTTAAACGTGCCATGTCGGGCACGAACCGTCGAACGTAATTAACAAACCCTAAAAAACTCTGCAGTTCCGTGATGTTTGTCGGGGGGCGCCACGCTTTTACCGTATCCAGCTTCTTTGGGTCGATCTCAACCCCAGCCTCGGAAATGACGTGACCTAAAAACTCTAGCCTATCCCTAAAAAACTCGCACTTGGAGCCCTTGGTGAGCAGCCGATGTTCCTCTAAAACCTTAAAAACTGCTTCGAGATCTGCTAAGTGTTGCTGCTTATCCCGACTGTAAACGAGGATATCGTCGAGGTAAACGATCACGCATCTATCTAAAAGTGGTCTAAACGCCTCGTTCATGGTCATCTGAAAAGTCGCAGGCGCGTTCGTCAATCCGAAAGGCATTACTGTATACTCGAATGACCCGTACCTAGTCCTAAATGCTGTTTTTGCGCAGTCCGATGGTTCGACCCGAATCTGATGGTAACCTCCCCGTAAATCTATTTTCGAAAAGACACGTGCTGTTCGCAGTTGGTCAATGAGTTCGTCGGCGCGGGGGATGGGGTATCGCGATTTGATTGTTACTCGGTTAAGCGCTCGGTAGTCGATGCACATGCGAAAACCTCCGTCTTTTTTCGGTGTGAACAGTATGGGTGCGGCGAACGGTGACGAGCTCGGTCGAATAAACTGCTTCTCTAACAGGTAATCTAACTGCTTCCTTAACTCGTCGAGCTCGGGCTGTGTCAGTCGAAATTGCCGCTGTACTGTTGGCTGTGCCCCCGGTTCTAGCTCGATCCTATGGTCGTGCACTCGCTGAGGTGGCAGTCCCTGTGGTAAATCATCCGGAAATATCCCCGGGAACCGTTTCAGTAGTGCTTGTAATTCGGTCGGTACGGCTGCTAGCAGTTTCTGAAAATCGTTCTGCTGCTCGTCTTTTTCTACCACTGCGATATCCACTGCGTACACGTCAGCTCCAGCAGCGACAGCTCGTTTCATCGCGATGGCGTTGACCTGGACTGTCGAAGATTCGGGTGGCCGCCAGCGAGGTAGGACGACCCAGTTACCGCTACTTCGCACTGTGCAGCTCCCCGTCGTCCAGTCGATCCGTGGGTTGTACCGTCGCAGCCAATCACGTCCCAGTAAAATGTCGTGCCCATCCAGCGTCGTTGCGAGCATTTCCTGTGTAAACCCGAAGTTTCCCCCGCAGCGGACTTTTACTCGCTCCACTTTTTCTCGTATGGCCAATGGCGTGCCGTCGACTAAGCGTGCATCTATCTCAGGTAAACATCGGTTAAGTGTTAACTGTAATTTCCGTGCGGTTGCAGTATTAACTAAGCTGTGACTTGCTCCTCCGTCAATGAAGATTTTCACTGCTGCTCCCTGTATTTTCCCGTAGATCAGTACCGGGCAATCCGTCGCTGTACCCTCCTTATTCATCCGAGCCCGATCGATGGCGTGAATCGGTACTGTGACTCGGTGAGGGTCGGTGTGGTTGGGCGAGCAGGCAGTCTCGTCAGTAGTTGGCCCAACTTCTACTGACTGCTGGCGTTTCCCTGCCTCTGAGACTCCTTCCCCTGCTCTGCTCCTCGACGCCTCAGCTCCTCTGGACATTCGCTCTTGCGATGGCCCGGCCGGTTGCAAGCAAAGCAGCGCCCTCTAAATGGCGTGGCAGCTGCATTCGTTGCGACGGCATGTACAGTGGCGTGCTCGATCGGTCCCCGAGGGCGATGTCCGAAATAGGACCCCGGTCTCGGTCGGCGTAGGATATCGATTTTCTCGGCGAGCGCGAGGATTTCGTTGAAATTCGATAGCCCGCGTAGCATTATCTCGTGCGATATGTCCGGCTTCAGCCCTCCGACGTAACGGTCCACCCGCTCCGCCTCGTGCATGTAGCCGACCTGTTCGCAAAGTGCGAGAAAACCGCTGGTGTAGTCTTGAACCGACCCGAGCTGGCGCCAAGTGCGCAGTTTCTGACGCGCCGAAATCGAAGCCGCGATCGGCTCAAAACGCGCCCGAAGCCCTGCGCACCACGCATCCCACGTGCTGTATTGGGCTGTTTCGCAGAACGAACTCCAGGTGACAGCTGGACCCGAGGGCCCTTCCTCGTGCGGCGGTGGCTCGTAGGCGCGTGGCGACGTCACGATGACTCGCCACCAGTCCATGGCGGGGCCCCTGAGTAGTGAAACCGCATACCGAATCTTGGCGGCGTCCGACTCGACGTAGTTGGCGTCGAAAAACACATTCATCGTGAAGACCCATGATTGAACTGTCGGGCCGCCGCGTTGGCTTGGGTCGAAGCAGGGCGGGCGTTGCGGCTTGAGTGGCATTGGGGCCATCATGACGTTTTCACCACTTGTCGTCGCAAACTCCACGTGCCGACGGGCTTCTCGGGGCTCCCGTGGGCTTAGCGTGCTCCTGTTCCCTCCCATGCCGGGCATCGGTTGGGCTGCGCCGTCACTGGCTGCGCCTGAGCGCTGTCCCGTGCTGTTGTGTTGCGTCGGTGTGCCGGATGAAATGATAATCGGCTCCTCCGAATGTACAGAGACATTGGTTGGTGCGTGGGATGTTGTCGGAGCATTCACCGTTGACTGTTGACGGGCGGAGTCACGTTCCGCCGTGAGCGTCGCGATTTCAAGCGCCGAATCCTCCAATTGTCGCACGAGACGATCGAGTTGCTCCTGCGTCAACGTGGCGAGATTGAGGTCGGCCATGGCGGGGGTGTCGGGCAAGCTCAGCGAGAGCCTCGGTCGTGGCCGTGCGTGCTTGCGAGAGAGCACTTCGAGCGGCGGTGCTGTGTCGCTGAGAGACGTCTACCCCCCCCAAAAATTGAGATAGTGGGAAGCGAAGGTGTGGATGCGGTCCGAGATGAGATCGTAGGCTCTGAATACCAAGTGTTACGTGTGCAATTGAGTGAACGAACGAGAATTGCACTATCGAAGCAAAAAAGTACAATGAGCGAAGGCATGAGCGAAGGTTTATATAGCGAAACAATAGTGGTAACGGTAATGGACTGTGGTTGTCGCGCGTCGAGCCTGAGACTGAGGTTGGGAAAGTGTCGAAGCGTAGGCCCGGAGCGCGGGTTACCAGCCGAGCCGTGAGGTCGGGATGCGATGTGCGAAAAAGGCGGGATGATGAATGATGCGATGGTCGCGAGTGGTAACGGTGCTGACTGAGGTGCTACAGTGACGTACGCGCTGGGCAGGGACGCGAAGTAAGGAAAAGGGAATTTCCTTACACATTCCTTGTCTGTGTGTGTTTTCACCTGGAGAATCACCTGTTCCTGTAAATAAACATTGATGTTTGTGCATACTGAAGAGAAACGTTGTACAGTTGCTCTGCGAGGAGTGACTTGTATCCCACTTTCCATTCTCGGTGTAAGATGCTAATCCAGGGTACTGACAGGACAAAAGTCGTACGGCGCGCCGATGCCGGGGATCGAACCCGGATCTTCCGCGTGACAGGCGGAGATACTGACCATTATACTACATCGACACCCTATGAGATTATAGAAAAATATAATATATTTAAACTACAGATTTCGTGTGGGCAGCGCAGCCAGCTAATCGAGGCGCAATCCGCTTTGAAGTCACATTCGGGGTAGAGGGCAAATCAAGGTGAGGAGGGCAGAGTGAGAGAGGAGAGAAGGAAAAGGGCCAGAGAACTTGTCGCGGGAAGACGGTCGAGAGAAGGTGTTGATCAGCGAGTCAAGAGGAAGGCAGGCGGGGCGTAGTTTCAATCGGGGGAGAAGGCGGACATAGGATCGAGCAGGGGCGAGCAGTAGCGCGGGGAAGCACAGGAGCGAGGAGGGGCGCGGGGAGCGGAGGGCTGCGATGGGCGACATGGGCGTGGCGCTGCGCGCGGTGGTGGCGGTGGCGGAGCCCAAGGCGAAGGTGGAGGCGTACCGCGCGCTGCTCGCTGACGTCATCGCGCGCAACGACGTGGAGCACGCCAAGCTGTTCGTCGACCACAGTGCGGCCATGGGGGTGGGGGGAGCGGGGAGTGGGGGGGTTTGCGGGAACAGGGGGTGGAGAGGAGAGCGAGGGGGGTTGCGGGAGGCCGGGGGGTGGCGAGAATGGGGGAGGAGGGATGCGTGCGTGGGGGGGTGGGACGGGGTATGGATGGTGGGTGCGGCGACGACTGCTGATGCCAGTAGCGGATTGTGCTTTGGACTCTGGGGGGCGGAGCGAGCGAGCGACCGAGTGGTGCTTGTGCGGGCTGCTGCTTGCGGGGACCGTTAATCACCTCGTTTCACGTACTTTAGACAGCGTTCTGTGTGGCGCAAAGCGGTCTCACGCGTTTCCTCGCCTTTCTTTGCGATTGGATGAGGTGCTGTTGTGAAGTGTGATGACTTCAGCCCGCGCCACCCGTTCTCCCCAGGTGCCCGTGAAAGGCGGAGGCGGCAGCAAGTTAGAGGCGAGTGAGAGGCTGAGTGCACTGGGGGCAATGCGGCGGGTGGTCCGCACGCCTTTTCGCTGCAGCGCTGCGGCACTTGGTTCCTTTTGAGAATTCTCAAAAGCCTCAGGCTTCTCTTCTCACCCTCCGCTCCCTCCCACGCCCCACTCATCCCTTTCCCTTGCCTTCCCTTATCCCCCCTAAGCACCACTTTTCCTCGTTCGTTCCACAACCAACTCCCCTTTCACCCCTCCCTCATCCCCACCTCACCCCTCCCCTCAAACCCCATTAACCCCCCCGCTAACCCCCCCCCCCCCCCCTTCCCCCACCCTCACTCACCCGTCACCCCCCTCCTCAACCCCCTTTCCCTCCTTGTCCCCGCTCCATGCGGCAGTGCTATCAGGACGTGCCCCTGATGGTGGCGCGGCAGGTGCTGCAGCAGCTGCCACTCCGTCCCACCAGCCTCTCTTCTCACCCTCCTGCATCTTGCCTCACCTCCCCTCCCTCCCCTCCCCCCCCGCACCCCCCGCACGCACTGCCGCCCGCAGTGCTATCAGAGGACGTGCCCCTGGTGGTGGCGCGGCAGGTGCTGCAGCAGCTGGCGGGCGAGCTGGGGGGGCTGCGCGCCGAGCAGCACAAGGCTGTGGCGCTCTACGCCCTCGCGCACATCCAGCCGCGCGTCGTGTCCTTTGAGGAGCAGGTGTGGCTGGAGTCAGTGTGTGTGTAATTGTGTGTGTGTGTGCGCGTGCGCGCTTGGGCGAGCGGAGCGGCAAAAGGCAGAGGCGGTGTACGCCCGCGCACACACCCAGCCACACGCCGTGTTGTTTCAGGAGCAGGTGCGCATGGGGGTGTGCGGCCGTGAGGGCTGTGTGCTTTCAGGAAGCGGTGGGATGGGAGTGCGTGTGTGCGCTTGCGTGTACGTCCGCCTGCATGTGTCCCTACCGTATTCCCCCCACCCTTCTTTCGTCCCTCTCCACCGCTTCTACTCGCACTTCCTATAGCCCGCCTACCCTTCCCACCCTCCTCTCTCCGCATTTCTCCGCCCGTTGCGCCTGTCGTGCTCGGTTCGCCCGCTCATGGCCGCATGGTGGGAGCAGGTGGCGGTGATCCGAGAGGGGCTGGCAGCGGTGTACGAGGGCGAGGAGGAGTGGGCCAAGGCCGCTCAGATGCTCGCAGGCATCGACCTGGATGGGGGCAGCAGGTACTGCCAGTGCCATGCTCGATTCCCCACAGCCTGCCCTGCACACCACACCGCCATGCATCTCACTCTTTCCATGCATTTTCTCTTATTTCCTCGTACAAATCTGCACCTCCCTCCCCTCTCTTTGTGCTTGCCCTTGTCGCGCATCACCCGCACACCCGTGCGTCACCGCCCACAGGGGCCAGGATGTGAAGTACCGCCTGGGCAAGTGCATCAAGATCGCTCTGCTCTACCTCGAGGTGCGTGCTCCCACTCACTCTGCCCTGCCCTCTGCCCCCTGCCCTCTGCCCCCTGCCCCCTGCCCCCTGCCCTCTGCCCCCTGCCCTCTGCCCTATGCTCTGTGGCTGTGCATCTGTGGCTGTGCATCTGTGGCTGTGCATCTGTGGCTGTGCATCTGTGGCTGTGCATCTGTGGCTGTGCATCTGTGGCTGTGCATCTGTGGCTGTGCATCTGTGGCTGTGCATCTGTGGCTGTGCATCTGTGGCTGTGCATCTGTGGCTGTGCATCTGTGGCTGTGCATCTGTGGCTGTGCATCTGTGGCTGTGCATCTGTGGCTGTGCATCTGTGGCTGTGCATCTGTGGCTGTGCATCTGTGGCTGTGCATCTGTGGCTGTGCATCTGTGGCTGTGCATCTGTGGCTGTGCATCTGTGGCTGTGCATCTGTGGCTGTGCATCTGTGGCTGTGCATCTGTGGCTAATCTGTCACCAGCTGGTCTCTGTACATGTGTGCGCCATGCCACGGTGTGCCATTCAGCTATCAATGCATTGAGTGCGGATGCACACTGTAGCAAGGCTGCCTGCCTGCTGCATCTTTTTGTCTGCCTTACTCTGACTATTAGTCGTGACTGTTTCTGTCGTGCCGGTGTGCTTCCGCCTGCCTGTGTGCGCGTGTTTGCATGAGCCCATCAGGACGACGATGCAGTGAGTGCGGAGACGTACATCAAGAAGGCATCCTTCGACATCGGCGAACACAAGGACGAGGCGCTCACACTGCAGTACAAGGTGGGGCGCTCGCACTGCAGTACAAGGTGAGGCGCTCACACTGCAGTACAAGGTGAGGCGCTCGCACTGCAGTACAAGGTGACCACGCCTTGTTGCACCTCAGGGTTGCACCCGTAGACGAGTGCCCATGCGTACCTTCCACTGCAAGAGATTCATCGTGTCTTGGTGCTCCTTCATCTTCGTATGTTTCACTGCACTGCGCTCTGTGCTGCCATCAGGTGTGCTATGCACGGATTCTGGACTCCAAGAGGAAGTTCCTGGAAGCTGCGCTCAAGTACTATGACCTCTCCCAGCTGGACCAGAGGGAGCTGGGCGGCAAGTGAGTGGCTTGTGGGCGGCAAGTGAGTGGCTTGTGGGCGGCAAGTGAGTGGCTTGTGGGCGGCAAGTGAGTGGCTTGGCGGCAAGTGAGTGGCTTGTGGGCGGCAATTGAGTTACTTGTGGGTGGCAAGTGAGTGGCTTGTGGGCGGCAATTGAGTGGCTTGTGGGTGGCAAGTGAGTGGCTTGTGGGCGGCAATTGAGTGGCTTGTGGGCGAAAGCTGTGCGGGTGGGTCACAAGTGAGTCAAGTGAGTGGTTTTGTTTTCATATGTGTGTGTGGAGAGTGAGGTGGAGGGAGGGAGAGAAGAACAACAGGAATGGAGAGAGGTGAACCACCCAACTTCACACTGCGCCCCATCTTCCACACTTTGTCCGTTTCCCCGCTTTTGCTGTTTTTCTTCACAAAAACACCTATTTGAATTTTGATGTTGATGCATGCTTGCATTCACATGTGCTGTCTTGCAAAACCCATGTTGAACGCATGCATTCTGACGTAGCTTGTTGTTGCGTGCACGGGTGACGCACGCAGGCAGGTGGATGAGGAGGAGTTGGAGGCGGTGCTGAACGCCGCTGTCACCTGCACCATCCTCGCTGCTGCCGGCCCCCAGCGCTCCCGCATGCTCGCCACGCTCTATAAGGTGCCACTCTCTATTAGATGTGCCACTTACTCAGTGTCAGGTGTAATGGTGCAGCAAGTCTGTAAATCCTATGCGAGCTTGTTATGCATGCTGTACTGCACTGCACCTGACGCGCAAGACTTAATTACTCACAGGTCTCTCGACTGGGCGTTTTGCAGTAGGAACAGGAGTGATGTTTGTTTTGTGTTAAGTCTCTCGACTGTGTGCGTGACGTGTGCGTGTGTGTGTGCATGGTGCCATGCCACGGCGCCACCCATCAGGACGAGCGCTGCAGCAAGCTGAAGATCTACCCCATTCTGCAGAAGGTCTGCATCGCCTCGCCCCTCCCTTGCTCTCTTACTCCCTTTGCATCTTGTTCTCTTGCTCTCCTTCTCTCTTACGTCCTTACTGTCGCAACCCACCTACCATAATCCCTGCAACAACTCCATCACCTGTGCCTCGTCCTCCCTGCGCCTTACTGCCGCTCTGCCTCTCGGTGCAGCAACCACGTTTCTCCCTGCAGCTCTCGCCCCTCTCTGGTGTCTCTGCCTTAAATCCTGTTGTCACTTCCACTTGAAGTTCTCCTCCCCCGTTATTGCCCCTCCTCCCCACCCGTTCTCTCACTGCCGTCCTCCACATTCCCCCTCCCACCGCCCTCCTTACCCCATTTTGCCTCCGCGCCACCGCCTTTTGCCGCCCGTCCACCCCTCGCCGTGCAGGTGTATCTGGAGCGCATCCTGCGATCCCCCGAGGTGGAGGCATTTGCCAAGGAGCTCAAGCCGCATCAGGTACGTGCACATTCCGTACAGCTCATGTATACCACGTTATATATAACAATGGGTAGGTACATAATGTATACCATAATGTTCGTCGTAGATATTTATGGATGTAATAAGTATTCATATTGCTGAAACTGCACCAGGTGAGGTGAAATGAGTTGAACCGCCATCGGGTGAGTTGCTTCTCTATGCACCTTCGGTTCAAAAGCATATTATACAATCGCTGCATGATCACCCTCCTGTCACGCACTTGCTGCCATCATTCATCCAAGCCATGCTTTTCTCACTCCCTGCCTGCCTGCGGTGCAGAAAGCGGTGCTACCAGGGGGGTCAACGGTGCTGGACCGGGCAGTGATAGAGCACAACCTGCTCAGCGCCAGCAAGCTGTACACCAACATCAGGTGAGGAATCAGCATCCTTGCTGCACACTCGCCTACCTCATTTGTGAGTTAACCAACAAATGAGCAGCAAGCTGTACACCAACATCAGGTGAGCTGTACTGATTAAGTTTCTGCCGCACCGCCTTGCCGCAGGGTAGAGTCCCACCTGAAATCGGATATGTTTCCTCTTTTGCCCCCATCCCTCCTCTGGCCCCTCTTTACCCCCCTCCACTCCCCTTGCACCTCTCCCGATCCATCACGTGCGCAGCTTTGAAGAGCTGGGTGCTCTGTTGGGCATTGCCCCGCACACGGTGGGTGTAAGGGGGGTTGGATGGTGAGGGCAGTGGGGTGTGAGGGGGGTTGGATGGTGAGGGAAGTGGGGTGTGAGGGGGGTTGGATGGTGAGGGCAGTGGGGTGTGAGGGGGGTTGGATGGTGAGGGCAGTGGGGTGTGAGGGCAGTGGGGTGTGAGGGCAGTGGGGTGTGAGGGCAGTGGGGTGTGAGGGCAGTGGGGTGTCGGGGGAATTGTGTGCTGCTGGGTGGCTTGCTGTGGGTGATGGCAAGGCACCACACGTCATGCGCCATACACCATGCATTCTGCACCATGCATTCTGCACCATGCATTCTGCACCATGCATCTTGCACCATGCATCATGCAACTGACGAACGTGCACTGTGCTCCATGCATGTGAGTTTTCATTTCCGCACTGCCGTGTCACAGAGCAACATGGTCTGCCTACACCGTTGAGTTTCTCTGCACCACACTTGGTGCTCCCATTTCTGCGTTCAAATCCCGTCATGCCTGCAACCATCCACTCCAGTCATAAGCCGTCCATCCACTCCAGTCATAAGCCGTCCATCCACTCCAGTCATAAGCCGTCCATCCACTCCAGTCATAAGCCGTCCATCCACTCCAGTCATAAGCCGTCCATCCACTCCAGTCATAAGCCGTCCATCCACTCCAGTCATAAGCCGTCCATCCACTCCAGTCATAAGCCGTCCATCCACTCCAGTCATAAGCCGTCCATCCACTCCAGTCATAAGCCGTCCAATCATTCCCACCCCTGTAGACTCAACACACCGTCTTCTGCCCTCCTCCTCCTGTATCCCGACCCACCTGTGGGGTGGGGTGGCGTGGGGCAGGCGGAGAAGGTGGCGGCGCGCATGATATCGGAGGACAGGATGAAGGGCAGCATCGACCAGGTGAGGCAGCATCGACCAGGTGAGGCAGCATCGACCAGGTGAGGCAGCATCGACTAGGTGAGGCAGGGGAGCCACTTAAGACACTTAAGGCTAGGGGAGCCTTTCAAGTGAGCACACTCGTCGCCTTTCAATCATCTGCAGTATTATTCAACCTTGCACTTGCTACTCTTCCATCCCTCTCCCTTGCTCTCCCCCCTCTCCCGCCCCAACTCTTCACCTCCCACTTTCCATCCCGTCCTGAAGTGCTCGCCATAAGGTGGCAGCAGCAATTTGCAAAGATTTCCGCCCTTCGCTCCCCGCTCTCCCTGCCACCCCTCTCTCTGCTCTCTCCCGGCCACCCTTCACCCGTCGCTCCCTGGTGCACGTGTCAACCCTGTCGGCCATGCCAGGTGGAGGCGGTGATTCACTTTGACAACGACACGGATGACCTGCAGCAGTGGGACCAGCAGGTACACACAATCACATCTGCATGCATCAGATAAGCTCTCATTGCTTCACGCCCGCTCTGTGTGCTCTGTCCCATGCCTGCCCTGTGTGCTCTGTCTCATGCCTGCCCTGTGTGCTATGTCTCACGCCCGCCCTGTGTGCAATGTATCATGCTGCAGATTGCCAGTTTGTGCCATGCGCTTAATGATATTCTTGATGGAGTGGTCAACAAGGGAGCCATGGCTGTCACAGTTTGAACGAATGCTGTCAGTGTGATCAGCAGCAGCTCTCATCTATCAGGCAATGCCGTCAGTAAATGAACACATTTGCGAGATGTTTGTTGGGCTGAAAAGCCCTAGGATCTTTGTAGAGTTAAAGTCTGAGTAAGTGATGTAATAGCGGAAGCGTTGAATAAAGTCCTTGAACCACCTTGCGCTAGTATGTGAGGGCAAAGTAAGTTAATTGAAACAAAGAGATACAGGAATAAATATATGAGTACAAAGAATATGAAGAGACATTATGACTACTTTACTGTTGCGGTTCGATACAGTGCGACTCGGGCAACTGCTCAATGTCGAGTCAGTTGTGTGTCCTTGCTGTCGCGGTGCGTCAAGTCAAAGGTCGCTGACCTTTGACTTTCTCGTAACCTCCAGCGGTTACGTTAACTTCCGAGGGTTGACTCGCCATGCTTCGATTTGAGCTGCTTCGCTTGTGTCTTGAGTTCTGACACGACAGAGGCGCTTAAACTATTTGTTCCCAACACTCCCCTTCGCTTCTGGAGTGTCGCTGATGGTGACGTGGCTTTGTCCAGTCAGCAGCATGCAGTACTCGAACTTCTGTTTTCCGAGCTTCTTGGTCAAGTAGTCAGCTGCCATCTCGGACGTGGGACAGTAGGATAGTTTGAGTTTCCCTTTCTCGATCTCGTCCTTCACGAAGAAGTATCGCAGGGCGATATGCTTCGTTCTGTTCGCGAATCCGCTCTTGTTGGCGATGCGAATTGCAGATTGGTTGTCGCAGAACAAAGTGAAGTTGGGTAACTCGGCTAACTTCGCTTCTTCCAGCAGCTCGCGAAGGTAGAGTCCTTCCTTGGTGGCTGAGCAGAGGGCGATATATTCTGCTTCAGCTGAAGAGAGAGCAATTAGTTCCTGCTTGCTCGATTGCCAGGAGATAGGTCCGATAGGTTCGAGGCGGTAGATGTAGCCAGTGCGGGAGCGCCTGTTATCTGAGTCGCCAGCGTGATCGGCATCGACATAGCCGATTAGTTTCGTCGGCGTAGTTGTGTTTTTGTAGTACGTCAGGCCGATCGTTGCGGTGCTCACGAAATAGTGAAGAGCGCGGTCGAGTTCCGCTAGGTGTTCTGTTTCGGGCCTCTTGAGATAGGTAGCAAGTTGACTTGCGGAGTAGGACAGGTCTGGTCGGCAGGTGACGGCTGCGAAGAGGAGGCAGCCCAGTTTTCGCTGGTAGTCGCGTATTCCGGCGGTTTTGAGTAAGGCGGAGCTTCCTTTGCCGTTCCCTGCCGTGTAGCGGTATGGCGTGGAGATAGTAGCGGGTGTGAGCGCGAAGCGTTTGGCGATGGTGTCGGCATACTTTTCGGCGCTGAGGTAGATCGCGTTTTCTTCTTCGCGGATGTTGAGTCCGAGATACTGAGTGACGGTAGTGGAGACCGTGAGTGTGAGGTCCCTCTTCAGCTCCCTTTCGAACCAGGTAGTTATGTCGTCGGTAGAACCGATGTAGAGTAAATCGTCGACGTAGACGATAAGCAGAATGTAGTTGGCGTCTTTGGTGAGTCGGTACATGCCTTGGTCGTGAGGCAGTTGACGGAATCCGATGCGGGTGAGGCGGGTGTGTAGGTGCTGTTGCCACAGCCGTGGGGCCTGTTTGATTCCGTAGAGCGATTTCAGTAGCTGCCAAACCTGATTAGGTTCCCCGTGGGTACCATGTGGGAGCTCAACGAAGATTTCGGCGTCGACGGGTGCGTAGAGGAAGGCGTTAGCAACGTCGATTTGCCGTAGTTTTCTTTTCTTCATGGCGGCGATCGCGAGGAGAATTCGGAGTGAGGTGTGTCGGCTAACCGGGGCGAATGTCTCGGTGAAGTCCCGTCCGTGTTCCTGATCGAATCCTCGCACGACCCAGCGTGCTTTGAACTTCTTGATTGTGCCGTCTGCCTTCGTTTTGATGCGGAAGACCCATTTCCCGGTGAGGATGGTCTTGTTCCTTGCCACGCTAACTGGAACGACTTTCCAAGTGTTCCGTTCCTCCAAGGCCTTTAATTCTCTGTCCATGGCTTCACGCCATTTCTCCCTGTGTTCCCCCCCCAGAGCCTGCTGAACCGTCACAGGCTCTTCAGGAAGAGGATGGCCGTGGACTGCGGTGACGAGGCCGAGAATCTGCAGTCCAGTCTGTGAGTAGCGGGGGAGTGTTGTGTCCTCGGGATAAGCTGCTTCATCTCCCGCTTCTGGGTCGGTTATGAAATTCGGTCCTATTCTTTCTGCTTCGTTGGTGTTGACTGTCGCATGTGTTACGTAACCATTGTCGGCGAAGTGGTAGAAGACTTCGGCGTTGGCGCTTTCGCGAGGATTTTCTTCGTCCATGGGGACGTTGACGGAGCGGAACGGGAGAGGTCCAGCTTCTTGTGATGCGTTGTCGACGTTCTGCTCGTCCCAGTCTGCTTCGTCCGCTGCTGAGGCGAAGGCTCGGTCACCACGAAAGCCACCTGTGGGGTCCTGATTTTCGTGCAAGTTGGCGAGGTACGTCTGAAGCGTGAGTCGTTCGTAGAAGATCACATCACGTGCTGCTACTGTTTCCTTGGAGTGGACGTCGAAGATTTTCCACGCGTTGTAATTCTTTTCGATGCCGAGGTGTAGTCCCCACTGTGCGCGTTGTGAAAATCTTCCCGCTCGTGCCTCTGGGGGTCGGTACTGTACCATGCACCCGAAAACTCTTAACATTTTTGTGCTGCCCTGTTTCCCTGTCCACAGCAGATGCGGTGATGCGTTGTTCGGAAGTGAGGACGACGACATCAAGTTGTGCAGCATGACAGCATGGTCCATTGCTGCAGGCCACTGGTGGTTGGGTAGCCGCATGCCACGTAACAGTTTGCGCATGCTGTCTGCAGAGTCCTGTTCATTCGTTCTGCGACACCTTGCTGCTGATGGGCGTAGGGAAGGGAGAGGAGTTGCTTGATTCCTCTTTCCGCCAGGTACTGCTTGAATCGCTGAGAGGTGTATTCTCCTCCTCCGTCTGACTGGAAGCTTTTCAGCTGTGGTCCCGACTCTCTTTCTGCTACTGGTAGCCAGGCGGCGAACGCTGCGAGTGCCATGTCTCGGCTGGGTAGATTTAGATGCCAGACGTATCGAGTGGCGGCGTCGATGAAGGTAATCGTGTAGTTGTAGGTAACTTGTCCTGGTTCTCGATTGAAGAGAATATCGCTGTACACCTTCTCGAGTGGTGTGTACGCAGGTGCGCTCGGGTTGTGATGAGGAGTGAACGGTCGATGTGGTAAGTCGGCTTCGGGGCAAGTAAGACAAGTCCCTCGTGCCCGTTGGAGTTCTCTGCCGTCGGGTAGTAATAATGAGTCCTTGTCTAGGACTCCTGCTCTTATCGTGTTATTTAACACTGTGTTGCTTGGATGTCCCATTCGTGCGTGCCATATGTCTTCGGAGGCGCGGTGTCCGGGTGAGCGTCGATACGCGTCGGAGTTGGAGTAAAAGCTGGCAACGAAGTTTGCGCTTCTGTGGACTTCTCGTTGAGTTGGTTTCAACTGCTGTGCGGGTGTTGGTGGTGTTTCGTTGACGAGGACTGGTGTCGTTGGTCATGCTGCTGCTGCCGATGTTATCTCTGCTGCTGCTGATGATGTTTCCGCTGCTGCCGATGATGTTTCTGCTGCTGCCGATGTTGTTTCTGCTGCTGCCGATGTTGTTTCTGCTGCTGCCGAATGTTGAATTGTTGCTAACGCGCGTGTTCTTTCTGCTTCAGGGATGGTGTGCGAGTACCAGAAGCCTTCCGGGCTCAAGTCCGGATCAAGATCCGGAGGATGTGTCCAGTCGGCGAAGTTCACGATGGCGTCGCTGTCTGCAGTGCCCAGGTCTGGGACGAAGTCTAGGACGAAGACGTTGTTCTTCAAGACCGCCTTCCCGATGTAGAGGCTGCCTTTCCCGTGGTATAATTTGAACTCCTGGGTGGTACTGTCGGCTTCCAAGTGAATGCCTTTCGCCATCAACTGGCTGACGCTCAGTAGGTTGTAGCCGAGTCCCTCCGCGATTAGTACCTTTGACATATGCAGTATAACATTTGTCTCTCATGACTGAAGTTGTACTACTCCTTGTCGTCGTGTGCGCAGGTTCTGGTTGTTGGCGACTGTGATGACGACCTCTCGTTGAAGTCGATGTTCGCGTTGGACGAAGCGTCCCGAAGAGCACATGTGCTGTCCGCAGCAACTGTCCAAGAACCATGTATCTTTCCCGGACGGTTCGCTTTGAGCAATGGCGGCGTACGTCGGGTTTGGTTGAAGGGACTCGCGGCGAGGCGTGCTGTTGTCGAGTTGCTCTTCTGGTGAGTAGTATGGTGGTGACTCGGTTGTGCAGGAATCTGTTATCTTTACCATGCAGTTGACGATGTTTCTTGCTTTTTGTGCAGGTTGTCCTGTTGGAGTCGTTGAAGCTTGGACTGAAGGTGTCGGGGTAGCTTGTGTTGAAGTGACTTGGCTGCTCGAAGGTCGAAGTTGTCGCTGTGGTGTTGTCGATTGATGACGATACGGGCAGTGCATATGAGGATGCCCTAAAGTCTTGCAGATGTGGCAAAACGGAGGTACTGGCTTCGGTTGTTGTTGCTGTCGACTGTTGTTGTTATTGTAGCGTTGCTGGGTGTGAAACGCGAACTCTGGTACTGACGTTTTCTTCTTATGTCGTTCTTCTTGCAGGTCCATGTCCTGCTGCTCGGCATGGATTTCGGCGCAGAGTGCTGCTTCGTAGATTCTCCCGTGTGCTCGTATTATGGCGCGAGTGGAGCGCCAGTGAGGGCCGAG